GACCTCAAAGACAGCATTGAAGATTTGGTCCGGTATCAAAGGTGTTCACAATATTGGAACTAGATTTTTAGACGAAAATCTATCAGCGGGAAAATATATAAGCATTATTAAAGACGCGTTGGACATCTTGTATCCTATAGCACTAGATCCAAGCCTATTGAATGAAAATATCCCGATCCAGCAGGTCGGGACAACACTCAATCACGCTTCGATGGTGGGAAATTTTGTCCAATAAATTATGACGTAGCATTTTATGCCCAGCTATATCGCCAGACCTCAAGTCCTTCCATTTTTCTTAATAGATTTATCTCAAGGACCCAGTAAATGCATCACAAATAACAAGCTTTGTAGACCTCAACGACAGCATTGAAGATTTGGTCAGGTGTCGAAGGTGTTCAAAATATTGGAACTAGATTTTCAGACGAAAATCTATCAGCAGGAAAATATATAAGCATTATTAGAGACGCGTTGGCCATCTTGTATCCAATAGCACTAGTTCCAAGCCTATTGAATGAAAATACCCCGCTTCAGCAGGTCAGGACAACACCCAATCACGCTTTGATGGTGGAAAATTTTTTCCAATAAATTATGAGTTAGCATTTTATGGCCAGCTATATCACCAGACCTCAGGTTCTTCTATTTTGCTTTATGGAGTTATCTCAAGGACCGAGTAAATGCATCACAAATAACAAGAGTTTTAGACCTCAAAGACAGCATTGAAGATTTGGTCAGGTGTCAAAGTTGTTCATATTATTGGAACTAGATTTTTAGACGTAAATCTATCAGCAGGAAAATATATAAGCATTATTAGAAACGCGTTGGCCAACTTTTATCCTATAACACTAGATCCAAGCCTATCAAATGAAAATATCTTGCTCCAGCAGGTCGGGACAACACCCAATCACGCTTGATGGTGGGAAATTTTTTCCAATAAATTGTGAGGTAGCATTTTATAGCTAGCTATATCACCAGACCTCAAGTCCTTCTATTTTCCTTTATGGAGTTATCTCAAGGACCCAGTAAATGCATCACAAATAACAAGCGTTGTACCCCTCAAAGACAGCATAACTACAAAATAGGTACCCCACAAATTTATTTCGCTGAAATACGATTGTTGAAGAGCTCTTGAAAATATAAGTCGTAATTCATGATAATGAATAATGTAAATTGATAAATTGTCATATAAATTTCATCTGACTGAAAAATGACAAAAATGAACATTTTATGAAACCATGATAAAATGTACATACACTGTGATTCACACACTGTGTGTCAAATTTATGAAATATAATCCAAGTTATGATGCGTCAGCGCCGTCTCAGACGATTTTCCGTGTAGATACTCATGACATACATACTTAACTAAAACATGATGAGTAAAATAATTAAATGAAGCGTTAGTGTATAAATTAAACGCTCCAACTATAATATAAGAAGTTCTAATTTTATATGAAAGTCTCAATTAATTCTTCCATGTAATCACCAAAGAGCTCTTTAAGGCCAGCTTACTCCAAACCATTTTGAGAAAATCGAATTCTTTTTTTATAAATTGCTACTATATACTCGTAGAAATAGTATAGAATTAATCCAGAAAGTCAGCAAGACCGAGAAGCAGGTATAAAAGATTAGGGAGCGCTGCAGTAAATCCGGCCGCTCCACCGCCTTCGGTTGCGGCAGCTGCTGCATGCCTTCGGGTCGTCTTATGGTTTTGTTCTTTGTTTTATTGTTATTGTCTTGTAATGTCTTGTTATTTTGTTGAACTGCTTTGAGAAATGCAAGAATTCTTCAGAATGATGCTTACGAAGACCAGGAAGGAGTTTTGTATCAAGCTGGAATGGATATGTAAGTAAAATTAACTTTTTTTATGATTTTTCACGCATAAAAACTTTGAACTGATTTTTCTCCGAACCATGTTTTTCGTATGAATTACACTCTCATTTCAAAACTATTGCACTTATCGATATGGACCAAACGGCATTTTACTCTTTAGATGTCTGGCTATGGCCTCAGAAGTACCATAAGCAGAACCAGAAATATTCATTATTATTCAAAAAAGTTGAAAACAATTAAAAGTGAAAAAAAGGGTAGAAAAAAATTCAAAACTCTGCCATTTTTTTTTTCATTGAAAATGTTTCATTCTGCTTGAGGTCATAGCCAATTCGATACAGAACATGAAACCGTTTTGTTTTTTGCGTTCAGATAATTCTTTTCCAAGAAATGATGTCAATCATCTCCGATTCAGATGAGTTTCAGCAGCCATTTTCAGGAACGTCATTTTAAAAAAAAAAATTTTTTTCAAGCTATTTCATATATGTGCTTTCATATGGTATATTACTATATATGGAATTGATTACTCAACATAGCTTGTACTATAACACTGTACTATGTTAAATAAAACATTTTGAAAAAAATTACGTTTTTTGGAGTAAGCTGGCCTCAAGGAAACAATAAAAATTAATTTTCAGATCTATTCGCAGCGATTCCGACAAAAGTATCTGTTTTGAGAGACGACTAACGCTCGTCTTCAAAAATGATAGCGGTCCTATTGATCCTCATCGTTTATCCACACTAGATAATTAAATAAGGCGTAAATATTGTAATTTCTCTCATAAATATCAATTGACGTTCTAATTTTATTTATTTTCTCTAATATAAATATATAGCAAGATAAGCGCATCTCCGAAAGGAAGAAATATCAAATGCAACGATCTATTTTAAAACAAATTTCAAAATTCTAAACAAGAAATAACTTCATGTTCGTTCTTATACTATCTTTTAGATTTTATGTCACGGTTACTTGTAAGGAAACTGTTCATTTTTCCAATTTGCAAAAACATCTGAACGTTTTAGCGCATTAACTACTTCAGTTTTTTATATGCGTTAAGAATTTGAACATTGGAAAGATAATTGATTTTCTCAGTGCCTTGTTTGTACGTTTCTTCGAGCACACTTACACTTTCTTCTCGTTAAAATGTCATACTCATCTAGGATTTTCAAAATTTGTATATTTTTACAATGCCTTAAAATTGAATTTGGAATAAAATTAAGGTGCAAAAATTTTACGGTAAATGAACGGTATCTTAGAGACCTGAGTTTTAAGAAATTCCAGAGTGATTTCCACCAATCCTTCTATTCACTTGAAATGTCTCTCAAAACTTCTGAATTATTGCGAATCCATACAGCCTTAATAAATTTTTCATAAATTTAACTAGCTAACATTGGGGAGCTCTTTTGTGAAATGTGAAATTCCTTTCGAAGAAACATTGCACTGCCTCACAGCTTCTTCTAATTGAATTTGAGATATTTACACCCATTACTGCGTAATTGCAATGGATGTTAGATACTTTTGAGGATTTTAGATGTTTTAATGCCAGCTTACTCCAAACAATTTTGAAAAAATCGAATTTTTTTTTTATAAATTGCTACTATATACTCGTAGAAATAGTATAGAATTAGTCCCGCAGGTCAGCAAGACCGAGAAGCAGGTATAAAAGATTAGGGAGCGCTGCTGTATATCCGACCGCTCGAACGCCTTCGGTAGCGGCAGCTGCTGCATGCCTTCGGGTGGTCTTATTGTTTTGTTCTTTGTTTTATTGTTATTGTCTTGTTATTTCGTTGAACTGCTTTGAAAAATGCAAGAATTTTTCAGAATTATGCTTACGAAGACAAGGAAGTAGATGTCTATGAAGCTGGAATGGATATGTGAATAAAATTCACTTTTTTTATGATTTTACACGAATAAAAACTTTGAACTGATTTTTCTCCGATCCACGTTTTTTCGCTTCAATTATACTCTTATTTCAAAACTATTGCACTTATCGATATGAACCAAACGGCATTTTACTCTTTAAATGCCTGGCTATGGCCTCAAGCAAAACCAGAAATTTTCATTATTACTTAAAAGTTATAAACAATTCGAAGTGATAAAACGGGTAAAAACAATTCAAAAGTCCGCCATTTTGTTTTTTTTTTCCATTGAAAATGTTTCATTCTGCTTGAGGTCATAGCCAATTCGATACCGAACATGAAGCCGTTTTGTTTTTTGCTTTCAGATAATTCTTTTCCAAGAAATGGTGTCATTTCAGCAGCCATTTTCAGGACCACCATTTCGAAAACAAAATTTTTTTCAAGTAATTTTATATATGTGCTTTCATATGTAAATAAATTGATTACTCAACATGTTTTGTACTATAAATGAAATATATTGAAAAAAATTACGTTTTCTGGAGTAAGCTGATCTTAAAATAGCACCAAACATTTTATGAAAAAGTTTCTTTCAATTCTGAGGTTTTTTAAATCTTCATGGAAACCCTTCTATATTTCATTAAGGAGCTGAAAAATAGGAGCATAAACCAATTCTAGGTAGTTATTCTCATTGTGATATTTCTCAGTTCCCCATTTTCAAATTCTGATTTTCTATCTGAATTTTTGTATAACTATTCAGTATATTAATTTCCATTGCAATATAAGTGGTTTTCTACAGTTCTCACATTAAATAAGCATGCTGAAAATTCGGTTGATGTTATTTTTGTGTAGACATCATGATGACTATTCACAATTTTCATATGTAACTAATATCCCAAGTCTTGTTGAATTGATTCAACAATTAGTCAACAATAGTTCCTACTAATCTGGGGTGGTCTGTTTCCTGAGAGATACCGTTTCTTAGCCCTTTAATATTTTTCTAAAATTTGCCTACTTTCTACTTACAAAGAAATACCATGAGACAGTAACAACATTTTATTAACATTAAAACACCTGAATTACAATTAAATTTTAATACCATTATCTTTATAGGATACAAACACATAATCCTCGGACAATCTAACTGAAACACACCAGGTTCCTTCTCATCGTAGTCACATCCAGGATAAACTAACCGATTTTGCATGCCAATAACACAGTACACTGAAGAAGTAAATATAAATGGTTTTGGATAGAATAGTTACACCAAATGATTCATACTCAGTGGATTGCTCAGTTACAATCAACATTTAACTGATCTCCGTGGCTTAGTCGGGAGAGCAGCCGACTAAGGTGCGATAGGATTCGGGTTCGAGCCCCGGTTAAGGTATGGATGTATGCATTTTACTTAGATTTAAGTAGTTAAATGATGATAATTGTTGGGTGTGTACATTGATTAGAAGCCCATTGGCTTCTTAACCGGCCTTAAACTGTAGGTCCACTGAATTAAAAATAAAATGAAAAAAATATTATTGAGTAATAAAAAGAATCCAATTTCGAACATCCTCTGAAGAATAGATATTCGTGAATTATTTTAAGAAACAACTCATTGAAATTGTGACACAAAGTGAAATACCATGTAAAAATATCTTTCTGTTTTGGTATAATTCAACTAACGTTATAAGTATACAGAGAAGCGTTATACACAACTCACTTTGCACCTCGAAATATGCGTCAGACTTTATAATGTAGGTAAACATAAAATGTGCAAATTGTTATCATTGCCACTGAATTTCCGTTGATAAATTAAAAATAAATTATGCTGCTTAAAAATTAGAAATGATAGGAAAATACGATCGCAGTGACACATATTACGTGTTCAACAAACAACGCTTTTATCAACTTTATTACTTTGTAAATTTCTGACAATTTATTTTCTTAACAGGGAAATTATGGAAGTTTTGAAATTTATATCCCCAATTTACGGTCCAAACCAGTGTATAACAATACTTATAAAATTCGATGACTGGTGTTATATTTATAATCATATAACCAAGAGATCATCATCAATAATTCATTTAATGCATAAAGATATCAACAAAATTTTCTTGGATTTATAAAATACATATGCATCTGCCGTAAATATTCCCATTCTTTCTACTCCGATTGCAACACCTTTAATGAAACGTAAATCTCAGGAAATAACCGAAAACCACAACTTTTCACTAGGCAACGCAATGACTATTGATCACAAAGATAAAGATCAGATGTTTCAACTGACTTGCCCGCTGAATTCCACTCACCTAAGGAGAATACTCCGTCTACGGTCCATTATCATATCGTAGCAATTCACGCCAGCAGCATATCCTCGTGCGCACACTGCACAAGACACCACGCTGATATTCGTCACACCAGACACGTGCTACGAAACCGGTAAAGCACGTGCTTAAAGACTCGCGCAGGACACTTTCACAGACTCCTCATCGGCGGTGAATGATACACTGCTAGACGGTGGATTTCTGAACGTAGCACGGCCGACGATCGGTCGTCTTCGGGACAGAAAAGATGTTTCCACTCTCTGGAGGGGACCCTTGGATTATTTTCTTTTTTCAGAACATGATTAGATTATGTTTTATGCATTTATTTACAACTGCGTCGCCGGGGAGCCTAACGAAGTTGCTGGGAAGCGAGGCGAAACTGTTACAATAGCGAAATTGAAACCAAAGCCGGTTTTGATTTATCTTTTTTGTGGGATAAGTAGAAGTTTGATTTTTTGTGAAAGATAATCTGTAAGGTGGATTACTTCAGCACTGATATCTCGAATCGGGCTTTAGTTTCAAAGGAATCTTTACGATATGTGCAAGATATCAAGATTGATGTTTTGTTTCATTTTCCCACAACCGGGAGAGAAAAGATCAACTTCAAGAGTCAGTTTCATCTTCTTGACATAAATGGATTACATGAGATCAACTGAATAAAGCATTGATCATCAATTGATATTGTGATTCAAACATCTGTAAGGCACCAATTATTGGCACCTATTCATTCTGTCAGATCAAAATAAGGTGATTTTCTACTGCGAATCACTTTTCCACTAATCAAACTTCAGTACACTCAGATATCACTGATGAGTTCCTTCTGAAAGGAAATAGTTTTTCTGTATCAAAGTTTGGATGAACTTGCTACTTCTGCCGCCATGTCAACAAAAAAAAATGATGTAGGTTATAATTGAGAACCATGTTTCTGCTTCGAGTCAAAATAAATGTCAACGGAATATTTGGCCAACACTGAACAGACTCAAGTCGGAAGTAATTATGGTTTGTCCAAAAGAAGAGAAGAAACTTTGAGTTCAGGATATTATAACAGGTTACTAACTAAACAACGTTGTTGGAACTGATATGACATCACTTTCAAAAAATTTGAGTAACTTTTTGCAATGACAATTATAGTACAATTGGACCAAAAAGCACCAAAGATTAATGCACGTCCAGAACCAAGAAAAGCAGAAGTTTATACATGAACCTTAACAAATGTGTTCATTGGACTGCTGAAAGCGAATCTGAACAAGAAGAGGTTATTTAATCGAGATCTTTCTGTCAAGAATGGTGTGAAAACAGCGAATTTTCAGTGATAAACTATATTATAGAAATCGACCACGGAAAAAACCGTATAAACTCAAATGGTTAAATGCGCTCATTTTGTTGCGAAAAAGATGAAATGCTGTCTAACAATCAGAATATTTCGGAAGAAATCTCGGAGTTTTATTGCTGGACATTCAGATCTAATCGTGGGCATTTTGTGATTTCATGTAAAGAAGAATAATAAGCTTTATATCGTCTTATTAGTGGTTGATATAGTTATCAACCACTATATTTATATTTATATTATCTTAGTAGTGGTTGATATAGTATTGATTTCAATTTTTTTTTTGGAATAATTTTTTGTCGTGAAAATTCCTGTTTATTCAGATAGTTAGGACACAGAGATTTTACCAAGGTACAATACCAACTGTTACTTTTTACAATATCCTGTTTTCATATTGTATATTTTTTCTTTTGTTCATGTGATGTGGTATATTTTAAAACTCCAATAGAATACAAATGAAATACTTATAAACTGTATAAATATAAACTGTCAGATAATAAAATTAGGTTACTCCAAACTTTGAACATTTACTGAGGAATGGTCTCAAATCATCGAGTATGAATGAAATCGTACCATTTTCGATATGAGATGAAGGTCGTTAGAAAAGAAAGAGATAGTAAAATATTTATTTTCATTGACTTAAAATATCATATTTGAACAAAAAACATGAATAGGAAACTACAAACTAAATATTACAAATATACAATGTACAAGGTAGAAACAATTTTGCAGTCAATCAGACAAAACAATAATGGAGACAACTCCTCAACCGAATGAAAGAACTACTCAATAGCAACTTTTCAATTTCTGATTTGAATTTTTTAACTTGTTGTTTTTCAAGAATATCAAGAGGTGAGTTATTGTAAATTACACTTTCTAATAGAGTGGCGCTCTTTCAAACCTTCTCTAACCTAGTGTTGCACCTAAAAAAATTTTGGTATGAGAGGAATCTTTTTTTTGATGTTCAAGCCATAGTTAAATTTGCAATCAGGAGACACAGTTGAAAAGTTTTACTCAAGAAGTATTTTCTGCATGATGGTAATAATTATGGTTTACCATTCCTTGGAATTTGAACTCGAACTAGAACTGGAGTTATCGTTTATGTCATTTCCAATATCTTCACATATTATCTGGCTCATGGTAGATAATTCATAATTAGTATTTTTATCATAAATTTTCATTAGAACCCGTCAAGAAAATATGACACAAAATTATGAATTGAGTGATAATTACTTGATCCTACAAGCTGAAAAAAAATGAAGACGGGTCTGGAATTTCAGTGAAATTCTGTTCACGACATGCTGATAATTTGTTTTCATCCTTGAATCGATATTTTCATTTCATGCAGTCTCTTCTGGAACACTGAATGAAAAATTGATAGCACGTTATGCTTCTGGCTAATGATCATATAAAAGTTTCTTGTTCGAAAAATCTTCATTAATCATATCGAAGTAACTAAAAATTAATAGGGCATGTTAACATCAGAGAAAACAGAATTATATTGAATGTTTGACAAGTAGTTTGGAGTGTTATCTTATTTGCAAAAGTTCAGTTTAATTTTTGAAATTTGGGGAGGACCTGGAAGGAATTGTCAAGTCAATTGATATAATTTTGTTAAACTGAGCCAAGTAGTTTTATTCAATTTATAAAACCATGTTTCGTCAAAAGATCATCGGATATTCAATCAGCTTCATTGAAGATAATAATACTGAAATCAAACAGTAAATTGATATGTAATTATTGGGGCTAATTCGAAAACATATCCAATGAATACTCTGGTTACTAATGTCCTACAGCCTAAGAATCTAATTTTTTCAAGAAGCTTGAAACATTGAATTATAGTAGTTTCTTTTCTTCCGCTTGCATTTCAATTTTTGTTTTTATATGTTTAGCTATCAATGTTGGATTCATGCTGTTGCATTATTTCTTGCTGAATATTTTGAGCATAGTGTTAAACACAGATTCCAAAGGTGTTCATTAGTGACATACAAAATGTGACATACAGATGTGTATTAACCTGCCTAAGGTGAAGTGATAAAGATCACTTATCTCTACGCAGAGATACTTCAAAAAGTCACTTCGAAAAGTGATCCAACCAAGCACGCCCTGCTACTTCATTTCTGAATTTATTTTCGATATCGTTCCTGACAACCAATTGATAGGCCATTATCCTTACATCCATTCTAGTAAGTCCGTAGTATATAGATTCCATTGACAAAATATACTCCACAAACTTTTTTTCCAGGAGATGATGGCAGTCTGGTTTTCTACCAAGGGGTTTGTGTACCAATTACTTTAAAGATTTTTCACAGTCCTTCACTAATCGTTTCAATGTGGATTTCGGCACAGAAAACATTTGTACAGTCCTCTTGTAGCCGTTGACTCTTGTTCTAACGGCTCCAATTGCCTTTTTCATCTGATATGAATCCCATGCTTTCCTTTTCTTTGAAGACGGGGATCGCAGACTCTGTCAAGACATCTAAAAATGAAATTGACAAAATATAGAAGTCGAGCATTTCGACATATATTATATATGGCCCCCGGGGACCATAATAGGAACAATGTGAGGGTGCCAAATTACAAGCATAAGCAAATTAATAGTCGAGCCAAATTACAGATATTTATATAATGTGGTGGCATAATTATTTCCAAAGTCCAATAGGAAGACGTTTGTCAAACCCAATGTTCAAATCACAAAACTTAAAATTATGTTTCTCTAGAAGAAGTGAACAAAATGCAGATCGC